ATTACAAATATTCTACCACACTTTTCCAGAGATCTACCACTGTTTTTATTGATAACACTGGCTTACAGAAAAAATGTTCTATGGATGCCACTATCCAATTTCTATGTAGAATTGCTCGGTGGTTCCGAAAATTGAGTTCATTTTTTTTTTTTTTGGATACGTTTTTGAGATATTCCAGCTTATTTTAATTTTTAATGAAAAATATAAAAAAATCAAACTTTAACAGAAGAAATTAAAAAAAAATCAGTTCTGTGCCAAATTTTTGCATCTGTACTAAAATCGATGGATAAATACGAAATAATGGCACATAACCTTTTTTTTTTAAATTTTTCTTCTGTTAAAGTTTGATTTTTTTCATTCTTTCATCAAAAAATAAAAAAGCTGCAATGATTAATTAATTTGTCAGAAACTATGAGCCCTATCGGAAAGTGATGTATACACGGTTTATGGAGAATTTCATTGGCTTACATTTGCCGTATTTTATATTAAGCTTTTTAAATTGGTTCGTAAGATATACGTGATTAAAAGGAACCAATTTTTGCTTTAAGTTGAATAACGGTAAATTGCAGATATCCATAGAAAAAAAATTAACCCGAATTTCGGAATCACTGAGCAAATCTACATAGAAATTGGATAGTGGCGTCTGGAGAACAAAAACCAAATTAAAATTTGTGATCCAGTGTAATCTACCACTAATTTAATTCGTTCTCGCTCACACTTTTCAAATATTTTTGTGAATTCCTGAGGAATTCCTCAATAAAAATACATACACAGATATGCATATATGTACAATAAATACATAAATGCTTATAAAAATCCGAAATATTCGTTAGCATTGTGAAATTGTTTCATCATTTGCGCCAGGCGGGTCAGTAAACTGGTTAGGGGCATGCCACCATTTAAAATACGAACTCCTTCAATGCAAATACAAATTCCGATTTGTTAACCTTAGCTAAATACATAAATTTATTTGCGCCAAGTTTAAGCAAATCTGAAAAAAACGTAATCATTCACAAAACTTTCCATAAACTTTTTTGACGTAATCTTCATCAACGTGTAGAATTCGCCTGACGGGAAACCTTTAAATACTTACATATTTCGCAAGCCAACAGCTTGCATGTAGCGTCTGGCGACTGATCGGCGTCGAATTTAATTTAATATGTATTGAATTTAATTCAATTTAGGTATTTCTTAATACCAAAACAACGAAACTGCAGCCGTAACCGGTTTGCGCAAATCCTGTTTCGACATCCCGCAACATTGCAACACAGCAGCCTCAGCAGCAGCAAAAGCCACAACAAAGATAGGCAGCCAAGGAAGGAGTTGGAGTTGGCGGCGAAGTAGAATGCAAACATGTAACCCTTTTAGGTATGAGCGACTCGTGTTCTTGGCATTTTCATGGCGAGGAAAGCTGTAAATAAATACATACATATGTTGTTGTACGCACGTACATATGCATGTAGGTACTACTGGTTTCTTTTGCAAGTCTCGATGTCACCAGAAATGGAATTTAAATAGGCCTCTCGAGTTGGCGCAGCTTGAAAGGCCTTTAATGTAATTCACAGACAATGTCCTATGATAAGATTCGATATTGCCACATGCGAAACGAATTAAAATAATAGGCGACGTTGTGTGTAGGAAGCGTGGAATAGTCACGTAGGCACTATTACTTATGTATATACGGGTAATGTATGTAAGTGATCGGTAAACGGAAGTTAAATATTCACATAAAAATGCATTTAAAAACAAAAAATCTGTGAGGGCAAAGTAGGTAATGCAAAAATAAACGCAATACATATACATATCACAGGTTTGATAATACATATATGTATGTAATTAACTAGTGAACCCGCATGGCGTTAAAACACCAAAATTGAATTTAGCTTTTTAAATAGGTGAAACCCTATTTTCTTCGGCTTCTGAAGTGCTTAATTTCGTCAGGTTAGCAATAAAATAAAATTCAATAGAAAGTTCTTAGACCTGGATATTTTCAAAACCATATAGCTTTTATGGGTTAACTGCCGCTATATTGATTTTGCACGTATTTACTTTGGGCCGTGCGTGCCTTTTCACCACTAGTGTGTCTTTTTGCCGCCTCTAATATCTTGCCGCCCAAGGCCCGGGCCTTAGGCCAAATCCGCCACTGGCTGCCATAAACCCGAGCCCATCGACCAGGACACTTATTATCCATATCAAAGACGAAGATACAAGTGAATATGGTGTCAATATATTGCTTATAAGTACAGTTTCTTTGCTTCTGTCGTTGCATTATTCTGCAGTAATTATAAGTAATGTATTATTTTAATAATGTTATTGAGCTTTGAACCACGATTATGTTTATTAGGAAAATTGCAAAAAGCAACAATGTCTAAGCGGTAAAAGTTATAGCAGCTATTGCGGAGATCACCACATCTCCTCATCAGACTTCTTTTTCTAAATGCAGGGATCGATGTGCAAAGTTAGATGGGCTAATCACTGAGCTATCTATGCACACCCCGTAAGCTCTTGTTGCTAATTCATTTCCTGATTCAACCTACTACCTAGTAATGTAGTTTTGTGACCCCTTCACATTTGATTGAAGCCAAAAGCAGATTTCAAGACCAGGAATAGACCAGAAGATAATTTAGGTAGGCGTTCTTAAGTGAAGACATTCTAAGAGGCCTACCCAAGAAGGGCTGCAAAAAGTAATTCCCTGCATGCCTTCTAGAAGGGCTTATCCATTTACAATTTACGCGAATGCATAAATTTATATTATTTAGCATTACAAATGATTGTCAATAAAACTTTTAAGTTGCAATAAGACATATTTGATATAAAACTTTTTATAAATTAAAGAAGCAAATTTAAAAGAACTCCACCAAAAGGCCTTCTGAAGTACGTTCTATAAAAGCCCTTCTGGAAGGCCTTCTTTGGGTAGCGAAAGGAGGAGCCCTTCAATTTGTGCCACTCCATTAAAAAATAAAGGAGAAAGGAATGTGGAGTGGAAGCCCTCTTGACACTCCTGAAATTATCTACTGGGAAACAGCCAAAACCAAATTTTTTGAGATGACACTTTACTTTGACTCCATAATAATAGTAATAACAATACACTTTTGGCGCTGAAGGCCTGTATGCAGTTCTAAAGAAAAGCAAAAACTCCATATAAAATGACGTACAAGAAATGGCTAAGAAATTTTCTTGAGTCAAATTTCCTTAAGGCAGTACGCAGTTCTTAAGAAATTTGCTCCGCTTTCTACTACGGGTTTCTAAAGTTTTTTTGTGAAAAAAGAGCACAAGGCAACCCAGGATTGCAACAGAAATATATGCCCGTTCCATTAGTTCCTGAGGAAAGAGTGAGGCAACAGTCTGTATCAAAAACGTCAAAATTCCTTGGACACCCACATGAAATAATTGCAATCTTTTCTTGACCGTTTTCTTGAGAGCTGCATACAGGCCATTACTCTTTTGGTAAGTGTTTGCAGCTCGCCAATTTGGCCCAATTGCACCAACGACTTATGACTTATCACTTAACATCTTTTGGATAAGCCTTTTTTTTGAAAAGTAAAGTTGATAAGTCTCGCACTTTTTACTTATCAAAAAAAAAAAACCTATCAACTTATCAAAAAATTAGTAACTGACAAGCATTTTGGACAAGTCGATTTGATAACCATTACACAACCAATTTCTTTTGCTCCTCAAATAGAGAACTTTTCCGATAATGTGCTTAGCATTGTTGCCGTTATGCGACTAAAGTGGCAATTTGACCCTTTTTAAGCACCAATTCCCTTTGACCCGACTTTTTGAAAATTTGGATTTTTTGACTCTTTTTCAAAATTATGTGCGACTTTTGCCCCCTCTCAGAGATTTTTTAACGAAATGTTAACAGAACCATGCTAAGAAAAAATTTTTCCTACTGTAAGTACGAAAAATGCATAACATTGCATCTGTTACTTTTCCATGTTGTATACTTTTAGACATCACTGCTTTTCATTTAGAGAATTTCGCCGTCGAAAGTTTAGCAAAGCGATTAAAAATTAGCAGTCATTTCGTGTATGCAGAACGATAGCTATATAAAAAATATACTAAATTTTGATAAAGCTAGTAATAAACATAATTTAAAACACTCAGACCTGTTCAGAACTCTAAAAAGACCAATTAATCTCAAGTGTCAAGAACAACCTTGAGGCTATAAAAAATCAATAAATTACCTACTATTTTCGGACATAAGCAAAAACACTACGCTAACTATATGCATCTGAGTGACTGGGAGGATGACAATGTTTATCTCAACATAAATAAAACAAAGGAAGGAAGAAAAGAAGCCGAGAAATATGAGTATAGCCAGTGAAGCACGAACAACGGCATGCAGTATACATAAGTGCATACAGGAATTGGGTTACCGGACATTTAATGCTATTTATAGTTTAACAGCCACTAAGGCAATTAAGGGCAGCTGGCACAAAAGAAAAAAAAGCACCGCAGCAATGGCAGAAAAAGCCGTAAAATATATCCTTAAGTAAAATGTACTGCAATGCGCTACTCCCAGCCGAGGATAGGCCACAAATGTCAAGTGCAAACTTGATATCGGCGACCTGGGGCAATGCCTTATTTATTACAAGCAAACCGTTGCAAAGCGGCGCATCATGCAATTCGAACCCTTCCAGATCATGTGTTGAATCAATTCAAGCTGACCACAGCTAAAAATAGCAAAGTGATAAGCGGCGCTGCAAAAACATATACGAAGATGGAGCACATTTGTATAAAGCTGCTCAAGGACACGCTGAAGCTGGAACTGCATTTCTGGTTTTCGAGCATAACCGCAATATCAGCGGCCACCACAGGCGGTATGGCATTTGGGCGCTACAGCTGGACTAAGTTTTAATTCGCATGTTATTTTGTTATTTTTTCTTTTTCTAGAATCCATTAAGAATACCTAAAGTACAGTTGTCGTTGGGAAGCAACCGGTGGACATTGTTTTCAATTTGTATAAATAGGCAGAAGTAGCCAATGTAAGCCATCAGTTTCGATTCGAATGAGTAACGTACTAGGCTACCAACAGAGCAGTTGTGCGGTACAAAGTGAATATTACATACAAGGAAGTAAGCGACAGAATTTTGTTTAGCAGAAGAAGGAAAGCTTAAATCGACTTAAGGAACTCATCAGCAATGAGGATGCTTATAGTGTCGCTGCTCGGCTTTCTGGCAACCAGAAGCTGTGCATATGCGGCCGCCGTCTCTGGTTATCCTTACCGTGGCGAACTGCTTGCTTTCAATCCAGCACGTGGAGAAATTCCTGTGGTGAATGCAATAACTCCCGGATATGTGCGTTTCCTCGACCAACAGGGTGTGCAACATTTTGTTGGTTACAAACATACTGAACCAGTGCAGAGCAGAAGAATCAGCAAAGAAGACTATTTAATTCAACTCGTTAAAGGTTCGCTCAACAAAGACGAAGCTGAGATTGTCAAAGCACGCGAAGAGCACTTCCGTCTGTGGTCCATAGACCAGTACGATCAATACAGGCTAGAAACAGAGCGTCTAAAGGCGGCCGGTAAAGAGCCTTCAGCGGAGTTGCTTTCGAAAATTAGAACACTGGAAGCGCTCATCATTGCGGCTAGAAGTGGCGTCAATCTCGAAAATCCAGAAACGAAGCAAATACGAGAGGAACATTTACGTTTGTGGAATGAGGCACGTCTGGCATCGTCACAACTGGATAGCGGAAAAACTAAGCAGCATACTGCCATTGCTGAGGCAGCAGTAAAACCAGGAATTTATTTACGATTCCAGAGCGCCGACTTGGCTAAAGACACGCCTGCGCAAACCGCAATTTTGGGCGAGACGGCTGAGCAAAAGAAGGCACGAGAGGAGCACTTGCGCATCTATAAAGAGCAAGTGCAGCATGTGCAACAACTGCAGGCAGAAGCCGCAAAGTTGGGAGAAAGCAGCGCGCATTTGTCTAAAGAGGCACGCGCCGAGCACGCAGCACAAGAAGGAAGGCATCAGCAAGAGCAGGGCGTACAAATTGTTGAACATTTGGGCTACGTGAAGGAGACACCAGAAGTGCTGCATGCCAAAGCAGAGCATTTACGCTTGTGGAATGAAGCTAAATTGCGCGCGGAGAAGGAAGGCTACAAATACGAAAAGAAGCAATACCAGAGTGAGCAGTATTTGACTGAAGGGCAGTATGACACTAAGAGTGACGCTTATAAGCCTGAGAAAAGTATCAGTGAGGGGAAACTCTCACAAAAAGAACCACAATCTTATGACCTCGAGAAACAACGCAACAAATATGAAGATGCACAAAAGAGTACGTACGGCCAGCAGTTAATTGATACGCACCAGGGGCAGAAATCAGATAGTAACTTGCCCACTCCCGTTCGGGACACACCAGAAGTGCAACGCGCTAGAGCTGAGCATTTGAAGATCTTAGAAGAGTTGCAAAAGAAGTCAGAATTCATTGCAGATACTCGGAGTGCCACCAAAAATATAGCCGATTTGGCAATACATCAGCCAACGTCCACGCAAGCGCTTCAGCATCTTCAACATCATGCTTCGAATGATCAACTGGGCACCACTAAATCCATATCGGATGCTGGCATCTATCAAAGTCAACCGCAGCCGTACGCTGTAGTGCAAGAAACAGCTGAAGTGCAACGCGCACGCGAAGAACACCTGAAGCTTGTGAAGGAGGCACACTTGAAGGCGAAGCAGTCTCAAACGCAGAGTTCTCAAATTGGAATTGAGCCAAAACCTACGCTGTATGCGGCGCCGGAGATCGTTGGAACTCCAGGTGAACTTAAAGACGAGGAAGCACGTTTACGCATCGTGGAGACGAAACAACGCGAAGCAGAAATTTTAGCTGAAGCTGGACGCATTAAAGAAGAGGAGCGTTTGCAAACTGAAGAAATGCTACGTTTGCAGCAAGAAGAAGAACGTCGTCAAGAACAGGAACGCCTTGACCAGGCAAAGGAAAATAAAGAAGCTGAGCACTACGCTGAAAAGACTCAACTACCAACTCTAGAACAGCCAAAGGAAACGCTAGAGCAATTGATTAAAACGCAAATTCAAAGAGGTGGTGATGCTGCGGTGACATACGACATCCGAGAGAAAGAAAATTATGCAGCTAATCCATACTTACTGCGTTTTGCCACTCCAGCCGCTAACCAGATCGGCGGCGCACCTATTGCAACTACTGCCTATTACATAGGCGCACAGAATCCTGCTCTACAGCAACAAGGCTATCTCAATCCTAGCTACTATTATCTGCGCGATGCCAGTGACAGCTACATCAAACTAGATAATCCCTACTTGTTGCACTACATTACCAATAAGCAGGATGGTAAGGAGCAACTAGCAACTGCTGATGCAGCATCACTTCCGTCCGCACTTACAGCATTAAACCAAGTGCAAAAGATCGAACAACCAATCGGCACAGCATTCGCAGAGAAACCACTTGCCGCTCCAATTATTCCAATTCCAGTTGCACCAGCGGCACCAATACTGCCAATCGGACCGTTGGCATCCAGCGCTGCCACTATGAAAATTAATTATGGTAATGATCGTGGTTTAGTTGCTCTAGAACAAGCGACACGTGACCATTTCCGTGCACATGAAATCGCTTTGGAGCAATTGCGTTTGGCCAATCAGAAACAACCGGCACAAAAGGACTGCTACTGAGTTACGGAGATTGCAAGCGAGTTGGTAACTTAACTTAAATACATATATTAAAAAAGTCCCCCATAGGAAAGGATTTCTTGATGATTCTCGAAAAATACGTGAAGTAGGTATGCTCATAAACTGAGTCGTTCTATACATATAAATACATGCATATGCAGTTATCATATGCTATAATTTTTAGTTTTTATTTTATGTAAGAAATGAAGCAGATATTGAAAAACAATAATAAAATGTCTCCATTGAAAAATTTTTTTCATACTTCAGTTAATCTTAAAGGGTTTAAGGGCCGTTTTCTTAAGTATTTGGGTTTTAAAATTTATCTGCCCGTTAAACACAAATTTTGTTCTAAAAGAAGTAAGAAAGTCTAAGTTCGGGCGGATTAAATACCCGGCGCAAGTATTAAATATACATATGTTTTTTCACCTTTCCGAAGGCTACCGCTACATGGTAAGCCGGGGTGTATAAATTTTGAGTAAATTAGCGTCCTTTAATTTCGAAATATTAAAGTTTCAAGCATTTCTGAAATTTACCGTTATATGAAAAGCGGCCGTAATTTTAGTCCGATTTCAATAATTTTCAACATTTTGCTTTTATGTGGCAAGCACAATAACCATACCGAGTTTGGTACAAATTGGTATAACGGTTACCGAGATACATATATGTGATCATAAGTGGGCGGTGCAACGCCCATTTTCCAAAATTTTATCATAAACGTATTTCCTGCTAAAGAGTTGTTGCAACCATCAATTTTGAATAAATTAGCTTTAATATTTACTGATTTATCCAAGATTTTGTATTTCTCTAAATTGCCGTTATTCCATATAACGGGCGTGGTTTTTGTCCGATTTAAAAAATTTTCGGTCATTTGGTACCAAGTTTGGAAGAAATTGGTGCAGCGGTTACCAAGATATACGCATGTAACCATAAGTGGGCGTGGCTACGCCCATTTTCCAAAAATTTGTAATATTCTTACTTTTCGTCTGGTAATTATTGTAAATATCAATTTTGAGTGAATTATCATTAGTAATTACTAAAATATCACAGTTTTCTTATTTCTGGAAATTACCGTTATATGGGAAGTGGGCGTGGTTACGGTCCGATTTCGCCCATTTTCAATACCAAGCTACCTTGGATAAATGGAAACCTACATGCCAAATTTCGTTGAGATATCTCTATTTTTGCTCGAGTTATCGTGTACACGGACAGACGGACAGACGGACGGACAGACAGACATGGCTTAATCGACTTCTCTATGCATTCTGAGCATTTATGTATACATTTGTCTATATCTATCTCGATTCGTTTTGGCTGTTACATACAACCGTTATGTGAACAAAATTAATATACCCTTGTGCACAAGTGCGCTCGGGTATAAAAATCTGTTTGAAGTGCAGATAAATTAAAAAACCTACATGCGAAAATAGCCCTTAATGCGATACATATGTACATACGTGCTTGGTTTCGCTAGTGTAACATTTTACTTTGCTAAATAAGTATTAGCATCGTAATGCAAGTTAAGCCTACAAAGGCAGTCAACATACAGTCCCAGCCAGCAAAAAATCCGAAAACCGATCCGAAAAAGGACAAAAAAGTGGATGAAGTGCGGATTTTTGTCCGTTTACTGGTTCCATTTCCGGATACTTTGACGATCCGTTTTCCGGATACGGAAAATTGAACTAAACACTTGAACACTGTCGGCATTTGAAAATTTTGAGCATTTTGATTTTATATGTTAGCTTCCAGCAGGTTCGGGTTCGAATGCCGAGGCAACAAATAATTTAATTTTTGTCAGAGGCAACATGTTAATCTTGTTGTAAAAATTTTTGATTGAGCCTCTAAAGCACATAAATACATATAAGAAAAACCATCTGTGAAGTGCAGAACATAAGCGTTGTCAAACGATTGGAGCCTTGGGTAATGGCAGAAAGAGAGGGAGCTTCGGTGGGGCCACTCCCACTTTTTTGGTTTAAGGGCTCACTGAAGTCTGCAGCGTGTGTTCACCAATAGGTGTGGCTGCAAGCGGCTCACTATATAAACGTGTATTTGGTCAAGAAACCACCCCCTCCCAGCAATGGGTTGTACGCTGGGTTTGGAGGAACGTCTCGCCACATTTCGCATCAAAGCAGGATTTTTCAACATCTCGCTGATTTGCGCCCAGGCCCGACGGAATGATAGCTTCTATGAGCGCTTTGAGCGCACATGCGAATGCTGCCCCCGCCATGATGTAAAAGGAAAAACGCCCGAAAATTTTCGCAGATTTAGGCGATTTACGGAAGGTTTCAAGACGAGGGCGAACTCCTGTAAGATCAACAATAGTGACCTAGTGACCGATGTCCAGAACGTACTTAAAATATGGAGGGAACACTTTTTCATCCTAGTGGATGGTAGCAGAACGGAAAGTTGTCGAGAAGACGAACCCGGACCCCAATACTATGATGACAGAGTCGATGTTCCGCCGCCTGACTATGATGAGGTACTAATAGCAATTACGCGGCTGAAAAACAACAAAGCTGCTGGAGCTGACAGCCTGCCAGCTGAGCTATTCAAGTACGGAGGTGAGAATCTGATAAGGTGCGTGCATCAACTTTTATGCAGAATATGGTCAGATGGAGTATGCTAAGAACGGCGACCCCACCATTCGCGCCAAATATTGCGGGATAAGCCTTCTAAGCATAGGTTACAAGGTCTTATAGAGCGTATTTTGTGAAAGACTGAAGTCCGCCGTCAACGAACTGATTGCGTCTTATCAGTGTTGCATTAGCTAATTGGCAAATCCACCATAGACCAGGTATTCACAATACGCCAAATCTGGGGTAAGACCCGAGAATAGGATCGACATTCACCTTCCATTTGCCGACTTCAAAGCCGCTTTCGACAGCACTAAAAGGAGTTGCCAATACGCCGCGATTTCTGAATTTGGTATCCCCGTGAAGTTGATACGACTGTGTAAAATGACGATAAGCAATACCACAGCGGCTCTTGGAGTATTCGAGAGAAAGATTTTGCGGAAGATTTACGGGTGTTTACTCGTTTGCGACGGCGAGTACCGCTTACGATGGAACGATGAGCTGTATGAGCTTTACAACGACATGGAAATAGTCAGAGATGTTAAGTATTTCAAATACAATACTTGTTATATGAAAAAAAACGCAAAGGACGTCACCAAAAATAAAAAAAATTTTTCAAAATCTACGCGATTATTGGCTGCTTGAAACTTGCACTTATTTTTTTTTAGGTAAAATTATTAATTTATTTCCATGGTAAAATTATTACAGGTATTGTCTTCCTAGAGAGTTTTGCTTCACATCGAAATTTGTGCTCCCTTATTTTGAACCGACTTCCACAAAAAGGAGAAGGTTATCAGTTCGTCGGAATATTTTTTATTTCTTTTTTTGTTATGTATGTTACCGCATAACTTTGGACCACGTTAACCGATTACGATAATTCTTTTTTCATCGGGAAGGTAGTACCTCAAGGTTGGTACCATATTAGCTTTGTTTGTCCGATAACTGGATCGTGAAGAAATTAACGATAATCTTAAATTTTATATGAGAATTGAAGTCGGTTTTGTTTTTTGCTTAAAAATAACTTGTCATTTTGACGCATTTCAATGTTGATTCTTATACTTTTAGTTTCCCTGCAGCAAACCAAACTGGTTTAGAGCTTGCGCTGAGCTTGCCTGAAAAGGGACGGTACTTGGTCTTCATCTCTACCAAATCTTTTTTAACATGGCGATGCCCTACGAAGTGACAATTGTCGACCTCTGCAGAACATTTGAATTTGTTCTGAGCTGACTCTGTCCTTAGATAGTTCATATAACAACAGTTCCTAGATAGATCAAAAAGAGTCACCTCCGGGCTGGAACAAATGTGTGTGCGTGTGAACAAATTGAAGGATTTCTTTCTCGGGAGAAACAAATTCCCGAAGAACAAACTCCCTGGGAGTATTCAGAATTGGGCTGTATGAATGTATGTATGTATGTATGTCAAATCGAACTTTCTGATACTACCTTTTGTCTATTTGAAAAATATAATAAAAATTAAAAAGTTAAATTAAAAAATTAAAAATTAAAAGTTTACCTCTCCAAGCGCCCTCACTTGACTTGAATCGTGCTAGCGAAGCAGTCAACGGCACTGTGAATATTCTTCGAAATGATAGAGAAAATGCTGACACACATTTCTCTGATATATTTTCAAAAGTTACCGATATCGCTAAGGAATTGGATTTTGACATTGTCCTTCCTTGGAGAGCGAATAGACAAAATTTTCAGGCTAATTATCGTGAAAGAGACATTGAAAATTTTTGATTTGAACTTATTACTTTCATCTAAAATTGGGGAATATAATGCGCCTTACGAAAAAAATAATGCTATCGAACGCGTAAAATCGCTGGGAAAACGATGCGAACTTTTCTTAGAAACAGACGGTATCAATTTGGAAAGAGAGTATAAAGTGTGGTTGGAACGATGGATAAATAAGGAAAGTGAAAAGCCATTCCCAAAATCAGCAGCAGAAGTTCTTGGTAAATGCGACGAATATACTTTTCCATTGATTAACAAACTCCTCCGCATTCTGGTCACACTTCCAGCTAGTAACGCTACTTCCGAAAGAAGTTTTTCAACCCTTCGCCGGTTGAAAACATGGTTGCGTCGTACCATGAATGAAGAAAAACTGATAGGACTAGCACTTTTACACGCACACTTAGATATTGAAATTGACACCGAAATGATAATAGAAAGATTCGCAAAAGGAAAGCGCAAAATTGAATTTGCAATTTAAATTATTACAATAAAAATTCTGAATAAGTTGTTAAGTTACTTAATTACATCCTTCATTCTACCAACATTGTAAGCAAGAAATAAGTATTTTTATGTATATATTGCATTAATAAACCAAAGGTATAACTTTGTAACTTTTTTTCTTTAAATAGTACATGCAATTGTTTTATTAGATCTTACACCAAACTCACAAAATGAAAAGTAATATTATATAACAAAACACTTTACTTCACACTTCATAAAAAATACTCGAACCTATATTTGCATGAAAAATAAATTAGGGTTAGATGCCTGTAATTTAACGTTATTGACAAGTTGATCCCAATTTTAAGTGTGATTAGTGGGTGATTTCTCATTCTGTTTGTGGTTTGAAAACC